CTATGTGGACCTGCTGGGTAAAGCCACAAGGAACCTGAAAATGGGCTCCCACAAAGATCCACCTCAACTCCTCTTCCTCCATCTCTTTCCCCTAAACCTGCCAGAGGCTCACTAGACCACTCCCACGGGGTATATAAGCTGCATCCCAGAGAACAGACACGTGGTTTTCTGGTCTCTCTTCCCAGTCTCCTCTCTGGGGGGGGGGGGGCAGAGAATCACCAGGGAATGCTTTACCCATTAAACCAGAGTTTTTCTAATTTGGTCTAATTTGGATTGCTGTATTGGCAGAGAGGCTTATTGGGGTGCAAAAACCTTATCAGTTATAAGCAGGTCACTGTTGTAATTCACAGGGTTGATGTTTTCCTTTCTCCTCTGGTAGCATGCAGAATACTTTTCCAGTACCATGAATGCTAGTTATTTGCACATATTTAATAGTGGAGTCTTATTTTTAAAAGAAAATAGATAACAACAAATGCTGGTGAGTGTGTGGGGAAGGAGGTAGGTATACTTACATGTTCCTGGTAGGTGCAGCCTCTATGGAAATTATTGTAAAAATGTCTTAAAAACTCTGAACACAAAACTGCTATATTGCCCAACTATATAAGGCTTGTCTACATACCTAAAGGACTCTACGTCATCATATTTGCATAAGCATGCTTATTGGTGCATGGTTCCAAATAGCAATAAAATAGTCTAGCCTAGGTATCTGTCACCAGAGAAACAGATAAAGAATATGCAGTGTACGTACACAAGGGAATTTTATTCAGTCATAAACAAAATCATAAAAGATTTTCAGGAAAATATATAAAATTTTAAATCTTTATGTTAAGTCAAATAAGCCAGACTCAGAAAAAACAATATATTGCATATATTCTTTCTGATGTGGAATTTGAATTTAAGTGTGTGTGGTGGGGTACGTGGTTGTGTATGTGTAGATCATGAAAGTAGAAAAGGGATGGAAATGGAGAAAAAGTGTATAATGGAATTTATACTGCATGAAAACAGATCGAGGGACCATTTGGACGAAGTGGGTGAGCAGTAGCAGGGGATGTGCGTGAAAGGTGCGTGGGTTATAACAAATGATAATGACATACATGCATAAAAATGCCATAATGAAAACCATTATTCTGCATGTTGTCTTAGAAATTAATTTAAAGTTAGGTAAAAGTCGATAGCAAGTAGCAAATACATTTCAGAGTATATCAATCGTCTTGCATACCTAAGGACCTATGTTAAATTCCCTTTACAAAGCAAAAAAGACTAAATGTTGAAATAATTTTTAAAATCTTTTGTTATTTAATAAGCATTGAAAATCACTAGTGTATATGACCTCTAGTTTTAAAATTTTGTGCTTTATCTTTTTATTTATTTCCAAGGTTTTTTATGATAAAATAAAAGAATAAAATAAAATTTAGTGATTTTATGCTCATAATATTAACAGTTTGATTAAATAATAAAATAAACTTAAGCTGTACAATGAAAGAATCAGCATAGAGAAAGTTTAGTCCCAGGGAATATTAATACCAAGACACGTCTATAAAAAGTGTTGGATTTAAAGCCAAGGAGAGAACAGCAGCAGCATAGCAAGAAAAATGCCCAGTGGAGAAAAGTTAGAGACTTTCGGACATCTCCAGACACTTCAGTGCCCGAGTGCTAAAACAGCTCGCACAAGAGCCACAAGGCATGCCTTGTATTTCTGTATGGTGCCGACCAGGACCAGAAGGTACTGTTTGATTGTCTTTGGTCCTACAGGCTTCAGGCTAGGAAATAGTTGCTGGTAATGATATTTAAATGCATTCAAAAATCAGAAACAAATGTGAGCTGAGTGCAGCCCAACAACGTGCACATTTTCCAAACGCTGACAGTGGCAGAACGACACCACTAAGAAAAAGTGGGAGAGGAAAGGAAACGGAACCTGAGCTATTTCCTCCGTCTCTTTTAATGTAGTGGAAAGTGGAAGGAAACCATTTGAAGCAAATCAACCAAATAATCACCATTGTTAGTCTATTTAACAGAAAGATGAACTATTAGGAAAGATAACAATATTAGTTAACTTACTCGATTGATGATACAATGCCATAATCATGATCTATGAAAAAATAATTAAGAGCTGGATTTCATTAAAATTAAACATGGCTCAGTCAGTAAATGGCTTGCTGCACAAGCATGAGCTGTGTTTAGACCTCCAGAGCCCTTGTACAAGCCATATGTGGTGATGTAGTCTTGTAACCCTTACAAGGGAAGGCAGAGACTGATCCCTGGAGCTGCGTGGCCAGCCGGCCTAGCAAATCTGCGAGTTACGTCAACAGTGGGAGAACCCGAGTCCAAAAGGAAGGCAGAGAGCATTTAAGGAAGGCACCATACACCAACCATGAGCTTCCATATGTGTTCATGTCCATATGCATGCACACTCCCACATGTACATGCACCAACCTACACACCAAAACTAAAACACACACACACACAAAACTTCTATACTCTGAGAGACATGGTGAAGATAATGCAAAGTCAAGTCAGCCAGGTAGTGGTGGTGCAAGCCTTTAATTTCAGCACTCAGAAGGCAGAGGCAAGAGGACCTCTGTGAGTTCGAGGTCAGCCTGGTCCTCAGAAAGAGTTCCAGGACAGCCAGGGATTCACAGAAACACCCTCTCTTAAAAATCCAAAAAAGAAAAAGAAAAGATCCTAAAGGAGAGGTTTGAGAAGACATTAAAAGAGTGATAACTAAAATGTGTAAGTGGCTCATGAAATAGACAAAGAAAATTGAAAACCTAATTAAGAAATGGGCAAAGGACCTGAGCAGACATTTCATCAAAGAAAGGTTCCAGGTGGAGAAATATAATAGGGTGAGGACATGATAAATAACAAAATCTTATTCAACTTAACAATTCTTGGAAGTCCAAGAACATGGTGCTGGCAAACCATGAAGATTTTCATGTGCTACAACATGATGGAAAGGTAAGTTTGCATGTATGGCATAGAGAAAGTCAAGTGATCACGGCTATCAGTAGCCCATTCTCTTAAGAACATCATTAATCTACCCATGAGGTCAGAGTTTTCGTGACCTCATCGTGACTTCCTAAAGTACTATCTTTCATCAGAGAATTGTGTGTCAAAGCCACAGTGAACAATGAGGCCATGCCACACTTACCAGAATTAACATCCTCCAGTTACTGACATCAAATATCAGCAGGCGAGTCCTTAACAGGAAGTGGGCAGCTTCTTCTAAAAAACACACACTCATAGCATATGACTAAACATCCTCACTCCTTGGTGCTTACCCAGTGGAGTTCAGAACATATGCTAATGCTCGTATATATGCTTTCAGGGTTGACCATTTTTGCTAACACTTGTAGATACACTTCCAGGGCTGACCATTTAGGCTAACGCTCCTATATACGCTTTCAGGGCTGACCATTTAGGATAGCTAGTTGGTTTGCTTTCCCTGGCGAAGACTATTTCTTTCACTTCCAGCATTCCTTAGTTGTTGGTAGTTCTTTGTTGAGGAAGAGGCAGAAGAGGGAGGGAAAGGCAGAGAGAAGTAATGTAATTGTTTTATAATATCAAAATTAGAAGAGATAACTTTAAATATGCTAACAAAATATCAATGAATATTTATATTCATAACTGCATTATTCTTAATTGCCAAATCTTGAGACAGCCAACATGCCTTCAACAGGTAAAAGGATAAACTGATATGTCCAGACAATGGAAAATTATTCAGTGCTTTAAAAGGAAGAAATTTCAAGCCATGAACGCATATAAATGATAATTAAGTGTACACCACTGGTGGCTTCTGAGTGTGAAGAGTCTGTGTGCTCTATTATCAAAGTGATATGACATTCTGGAAAATGCAAAATGATAAAGTAATGGAATGATTGGTAACTGTGGCCTAGGGAGCTTTAGGGCTGTTAAACCGAATCCATTTTCTGTTGCTAGTACCGAGTTCTATAGAATTCACAATTATAGGTAAGTCGTGTTAAAATGTGGTCCATATTGGCTGATAGTTCTATTCATGGCCTTCTTGTTTGCAGTCATCAGGTGACATGGGTTCTTAATGAAGAAAGATAGAGACTGAGTGACAGACATAGCCAACCTGTTTATTTTTTGTTGTTGTTTTTGTTTGTTTGTTTTTACCACAAATGTACTCTTAAATCTTAATAATTCAATTAGTTGCATGAATTGATTATTCCATTCATAAAAGCAGAGCCATGTGGGGCAGTGGTGGTGCACACCTTTAATACCAGCACTCAGGAGGCAGAGCCAGGCAGATCTCTGTGAGTTCAAGGCCAGCCTGGTCTACAGAATGAGATCGAGGACAGGCACCAAAACTACACAGAGAAACACTGTCTCAAACCCCCCCAAATTTAATTAATTAATTAATTAATTAATTAATTTTTAAAAACAGAAACAGAGCTGTAAACAACTTTTGGCAGATCTTAGCCATTGCTTAATATGGTGTGATGAGGATTCAACCATCTCATACCATAGAAGAAAGTCTTCTGTGTGAACTACAATGGGGATATCAAATCATCATAGACTTGTCCAAATCATGTAACACAAAACATTAGCGTGAATGTAAACGAGGCAGGCAAGTTTAAGAACAACCCAGTGACCCAGGTCACATCCTGTTGAAAACACTTTTTTTCTGCGCTTTCCTGATAGAGCAATACATAGGCCTTCCACCCTGATTTGGACTTGGGCACAACTTGGTAAGTAGAGAGAAAGGGGGCCAGTTCAGCTCAAACTGGTGCTGGGCATGAGCATGGTGAAGGCTGATCACCAGTTCTTGAAGTGACTTTTTAGGAAGAAGGTCCCCTTGGCCATATCATGCACAGGGCATGCGTATACTTAAAATTTGGGGATGCATTCCCCACACCCCACCCGGGGGGGTGGGGGGGCTGGGAAGTGCACTCTCTGCACTTAACGCCACTTTCAGTAAATCTTGTTTTCACTTCTGCTTTCCTGTGTTTTCTTCCTTTTTTAATTTTATCACAAGGTACCTGGAAGCAAGGGTGTCAGTTTCCACAGCAACAGCAGCCGGCCTAGGCCGCTAAAGCAGTTACGTCATCACCTGTCGCAGGGTGCCTTTCCATGTGAGATATGTGCTCCCTTTAAGACACATGCGCCCTTTAAAAGTGCCCTCCAGAGCACAGCTCGCTTGTCTCTTGCTCCTCTTTGTCTCTTCTTTCCTCTCTTGTGTCCCTTCTTCCTCTTGTATGTCTGCCCCTCTCAAGTCCACTCCATCGCGGCTGTCACCCTCCCCGGCCTCCAATAAAGCTCTTGCTGCCTCCGGTGTGTTTGCTTAGCGGCATTCCTTGGGAAGGTACCCGCTGCACCTTTCTTTTTGTCTATCCTTTCAGAAGGGGCTATGGAGCCATTGAAGCGGATGTGGGTAGAAGGAAAGGAGTGTTGGGGATCACACTGTGAATGCAACCCCCTTGGGGAGAGCTGGGGGCACAGAGGGAAGCAAACTGGCAGCGGGAAAGAAAGCAGATTTTCTATGACAAAGTCGGGGTCTTTGAGCTGACACAGGAGCTTCTGAAGTAGATGCCCTTGCCCAGGGCAGTTGACCTTTGGGGCAGACTGAGGAAGGTTCCTGGTAAACAGAAATCTACCCTAAGCTATCTTCTTCTCTAGTAAACAGGAATCTGCCTTTAGGTTTCTAAGAAACCAAGTGGGTTTCTGTTTACCCAATACCAATCCTGTTTACCTGGCCAGAGTCTTCCTGATTAAGACTTTGCCACCAGCACTGCCATTTTGGACCAAACAGTACCTTGACATTATGGGATGGGGGGAAAACAAAAGACGCCCTCTGGAAACATAAACTTTATATTTGAGGTGATAATGGTGCTTCTGTGGTTCACGGACTGTAACAAATCTGCTACTACAGTGATGGTGGTGTGGATGCGGTGAGAGGGAAGCATGGGTGATGGATGCCAGGCTGACTCTCTGTCTACCTTCTCCACAATTTTACTGTAGACTTAAAAGCGTTCTAGTAGGAAATTTTATTAGCTTAAATAATAAAAACATGAGTAACAAAGGAAAGTGTTATTGGAAATCTAGGGGGAGTCACTATACATTACCAGGAAAATCAGAGTCACCTCTTGGGGTTCTAAGTTTCAATAATAAAAGAATGTAAGAACAAACCCAAACAGAAGCTAAAGAACAATTTATTAATATTTCAAAGGAAAACTCCAAGGCACACAAGCTATAGACCTTGGCAGCCCTCTGGAGGAAGAGAATGAAGAAAAGAAGGACAAATGCCTTAACGTTTGAGTTAGTTAGCATAGCATAGACATGAGATGCGGGATTAGCAAGCAGCTACGTGGTGGGGAGGGGAGGTGGATTTCAATAAGGAAGTCCAAAGGACTAGAAAAAGCATGCTTGGGCTCTGGCTAGCATCTGAAAGGAAGAGATAGAAAAGAAGAAAGAAGAGAAGAACTCAGAAAAACAGGCAGATCCAAGAGAACCTCACACAGGTTTATACAGATTGTACTAAGGGGAAGAAATTCTGGGAAGCAAAGGCATATTAAAGGGCTAAGTATTCCTCCTATCCTTAGCACGGCTTAGGATGGACTCACCTTCTCGGCGAGTTGTCCTTTACCCAACCCAACTGGATTAACTCCTTTATTTAAAATATAACAAAATAAAGTATAATAAGGTAAAAAAAAAATCACATCAAAGTTGGACAAGACAGAACAACAGAAAGAAAAGAGCCCAAGAAAGGGCACGAGAGTCAGAGACCCACTCATTCACACACTCAGAAATCTCATAAGAAATACTAACCTGGAAGCCATAAAATAAGCACAAAAGACCTGACTTTCTGAGTCTATGAAACTAATAACTTACAAAAAGGACCCTGTGTTTTCAGTGAAAGAGGGAATATGAATACTATATATTGATAAAGAAATATAACGGTAAGAGCAGCACAGAATGATAATTTATTTATTTATTTATTTATTTTTTGAGACAGGGTTTCTCTGTGTAGCTTTGCGCCTTTCTTGGGACTCACTTGGTAGTCCAGGCTGGCCTCGAACTCACAGAGATCCGCCTGCCTCTGCCTCCCGAGTGCTGGGATTAAAGGTGTGTGCCACCACCACCCAGCTAGAATGATAATTTATAAAGCAAGTGTGAGAGAGATAACTCAGCTGGAAAAGGAACTTGCTAGTATTTTATTAAACCAATTCAAGTGACAAGTCTTTACAGTGTACAAGAGGATTATTCCACAACAAATTAGCTTTTGTTTTCCTAGCCACAACATAGCAATATCATGGTGGGGTTTGTTGTTGTTGTTATTATTATTATTATTATTATTATTATTATTTTGATGCCAATAGAGTATAATCATTGACAATGAACCTGCAAGCCCTGGAATTAAATGGTGTTGCTCAGCAGCGATCATCTGTAATACCTGGATGCACTTCTATTAATTTTATTCTAGCCCATTGTTGAATTTAAGAAATAAAATTTTAAAGTTATGGCTTAGTGCTGTTCCAGATGTTTGGAACAAATTAATTTAGACTGTCAGAACTTTAAAAACTCTTTATTATCCTCCACAAGCTAGCAAGCAGGGTATATGCTTGGTAAGTAAAGACTGGTTTTAAGAACTCTGGATTACATCTGTGGCCTCAGTCTTATATTGTGCCCAATAGTGTTATTCTACAGCCTGGTTTAAAGACTTGTGTCAGGGTGGAAATCTCAGAAGTTCATTGTTTCACTTTTGCTGAGAGTAATAAAAGGTGTAAAGAGTGAAAACCCAAGGTCAGTCTGCAGACTCAGTGTGGAATCAATTAGAAGCCTGGCGGGAACTCTAGGATATGCAACTTGAGGTCAAGACCTGAGCCCCAGTGGAAAGATGGAAATCCTTGGAGGTGGGAAGGAATGAAAATATTAAGATACATAAAAACACATATGGTCTTATATCCAGTGTATCTTATACACATGTAGGTCTTACAGATCTCAGGAGGTAGAATTAGAATCACCCTAAAAGAGGTTGGGATTCTGCCAGCTTCTACCTCAAGCACAGAATCTGTGAAGTGCATGGGCTTTTTCCACTGCTCTTCACACCTCAACTTCGAACAGATGTAGTAGTCGGAAGCCAACCCCACTCAACGCTGGGGTGAGGGAAGAGTTATGGCCACATTTTGTCTCCCTCTCAACTTCCCACTTGCTCTAGAGGGAATCCCTGCAGAAGTCCCTTCAATTCAATGTATTTTCTGAAAGAAAACAGAGAGCAGCAAGGGATCAAAACTCCTTCTCTACACAACCATGAAGGTAGAAAACCTTCTAGGTACCTGGTAAAAGATAAAATTAATTTGCAAGCTATGACTAAGCAAAAACCTTGGAGAGAGTCAATCAATTCTAAAACACATTCTATATATGTCAATAATTGATTTAATTATTTTTTCAGGTTTAAAGCTTCATAACCTGGCTTCCTCATTGCTTTGAATGTTTTGTTTAGGAAAGCACCTTAAGAAATATGAACTAACAAAAACACTGGGCCTAAGCTGTATGTTTTTTTAAATCATATGATATGTTAAAAACAGAATCAGTACAGTAAAAACATATATAAATGCACAGATATAGTCATACAAGTCAGGTTTATTGAAGAGAAACCACAACAAAACCATAATGTCTGGAATGAGAATCTTTGGTTCCCTAGTAACAATGCACAAAAATTCACATAAGTAAGATTTTATCCTTACAAGTACTTGATTTCACTATACTTTGTGTTTTAAAATATGATGTGTCAAAGATAGATTTATTTCCCTTGGGTTTTGTTTCCAAGTTATGGTATTTAATTTGATGCTGTCTAGTTTTGCAGAGGGCTAGCAATAATATGATATACAAAGTAACAACAAATATCCTGGAGAGCTCTGTTGGCTGTGTCCTTGAGGTAGTGAATATCTAACCATAAGCATCTTGAATACTTATGAATTACACATGTGAGCAAATGCTAGCCTATTATGGTTGGATTTACCTTACATTGTTTTCAGCACTATGATTCAAAAATTTTTGTCATATTTATGACATATTTACGTGCAACCTATAAATTTTCTTCTCTTCATATTACAGATATGAAGGTGATTATATGACACAAGGTATTTCAAATGCTAAAGTACGTACATTTACAAATGTTTAGCCACTCCTAACTGTTGCTGGAGGGCTTCTCTCCAGCTTCCACCAAGCCCCGCAGTCCCACAATCCACGTATAAAATAATCACTCAGACGCTTATAATACTTATAAATTGTATGGCCATGGCAGGCTTCTTGCTAACTGTTCTTTTATCTTAAATTAACCCATTTTTATAAATCTATACTTGCCACGTGGCTGGTGGCTTACCGGCGTCTTTACATGCTGTTTGTCCTGGCCCTGGCTGCAGTGTCTCTCCCCCTTCTTCCTGTTTCCCCAATTCTCCTCTCTTTGTCCCACCTATACTTCCTGCCTGGTCACTGGCCATCAGTGTTTTATTTATATAGAGTGATATCCACAGCACCTAACTACCGCAGATTAACTACCATAACAAAACACCACAGACAGGCTGGTTTAAATCACAGAAATTAGTTTCGTCATAGTTCCGGAGGTTGGCAGTCCCAAATCATGGTGTCAGTGATTGCACCTAAGTGCTCCTTGGTCTGCAGAGAAGGCTGCCTTCTAGCTGTTTAAACATGGCATTTTCTATGTGCACTGACATCCCTGGTGTCTCTCCCCCTCTTGGAAGGAAGCCAGTAGCATTAGATATTTTTTAACCTTAATTACTGTAATATAACTTATATCCAAGTATAGTTACATTGGGAGTTTGGGCTTCAATCTAAGAATTTGCAGGAGACACAATTTAACACATAGTACTCCAAAACCTTGGGAAAATAGTAAAGAAGTATCCCTTATGATGCTTATAGCTAAAGTCAACATCACAGGTCCTCTAGCCTCTATTTTTTATGTTGTATAATTTTAGCTTCAATGTTCCATTCCATATATAGCTTTACATCCAATGTTATCATGGACATAGATACTTACATTTCTAAGTTTCTCTGCTGCTGGAATCATACAAGACCTGA